GGGGGGGGGCAGGGTCCCCTGTTCCCATCCCAAGGGACACCCGTGTTCCCATGCCAGTTTTTCCCCTGTAACACCTGCAGCCCTTGGGAAGGGAGGGGGTCCTGCCCATCCAAAACTCTTGGGTTTATTCAAAATCATAGAGAGGGGCAGTTCATTGGTTGTTCTGCCCTTGGCTGGTGGGTGAAGCACCTTGGGGACAAGTTGGGGACACTTTGCTCAAGTGCTTGTGGTCTCCAGCCAGGGAGGAGAAAAACCCTGGAGGGGCAGGGAATGTCTTTGGATAGTTAGTTGATATGAACAGGGGGTTGAAAAATCAGCTTTGGGGGGATCCCACAGGCAGGGGGATCCCTGTTTTGGGGGATGTTGGAGGGTCAGGGCAGGGTTCCTGCTCCAGCATCCATAGTCCCCATGGCCCCAAGGAGCTGCTGGTTCTGCAATGCCTTGAGTTCTGCTGATGGAATAGTCAGTGCTGGGATATTGTTCCTCCTCACCAGGGCCCTTTTGTGATTAAACCACAGGTTTGAAAGGGAAAGAACAGTGAGAAATGTTGGTTTAATTGATAACTTGGCTCTCTGGAATAGTCAGTTCCCTGGTGTGAGTTTCTCTCACTGCTTGTTAATGAAGCTTTTATTCATACAAGGGGGGGAAAAAAACACCACAACAACTAAGGAAAAACAAAATCAACCCAGGAGACTGTTGCTCAGGTGTAGTTTTCTTGGCACTTCAAGCTTTTTTTGGTTGTCTGGAGGCACGTGGCAAAGTCAAGTCCCCCTGAAAGGCCCCAGCAATGCTGGGGTTGTCATTCCTGGAGGGGGTTTGGGTGGGATTTTATTTCCTCTGAGCAATATTCCAAGTTGGGTGTCAACTGTTATTATTCCCTCTCTGCAACCAGACAGGGTTGAGTTGCTGTTGCTGTCAGGCTCTCTGCAAATACCACATGGAAAGGGCTTTTTGGGGAATTGTTTTCAAATTCCAAGTACAGAAGCTACGTGTGAGAATCACAGACCAACTGGATTTTAAAGAGCCAAGTGTTTGTGCTACGTTGAAACGCAGCCTTTAGTCAATGGCATCAGGGGCAGGGAGGGAGGGGGAGCTGTGCCCTTTGCACAAGCACATCTGGATGGCTTTGCACAAGCGTGTGTCTTTGCACAAGGCCCTTGTGGGCAGGAGCCAGTTGCCCATGGTGCTCCTTGCAACCCCTGCTGACCCATCACAGGGGAAATCCCTCCCTGTGGTTCCTTTTCCACTGGGACAAGTGGGATTTGTGGCTGGAGCAGCCTGGCCCATCCTTTCCCTGCCCTTTGGTGCCACATTCCTGGGGATGCTCCATCCCTTCCCAGAGGAGATTTGGTGGGGAGGAGGATTAAACCCAGCCTGGAAACCCTGGGTCTGTCACCCCGTGTTGAGCTGCTGCTCTTCTGGAGCTGCTGCTTGGGTTGCTGCTCTCTTGTCTTGTAATTAATGCTCCCAGGTAATTACACTCCCAGACTCCCTGAAAAGCTGC